TGTGTTGAGGCAAGTTGGAGCTAAACTCTGCAGGACACCGGCCCTCCAGGACCGAGTTTGGACAGCCCTGGGTTAAATCATCGAAAACATGCGCCGCCACCAACCAACACCAACAGAAGCCGAAGGGGGAAACACACTGATTAGACAAAACCAGATGAACATGTTTGTCTGCGTCATGTCGGTGTGGTCTGAATTGGCCTTTACGATCAATTTTTTCCCATTAGCATAACTACTGTATGTATACCGCACTATATACTCACTGCTGATTTGATTTAAGTTGTCTGGATCTTCACTCTGTATCTTCCAGATTTCCTCCATCTGCGATATCACTTTAAGAACTGACAAGCAGAGACAAAAACATGCTTAGATGTGAGTCAAAAGACATAAAGATGTGTGGTAGATATTAATGCAAAGAGTCACACTTTTTTCAGAGCTAGCGTCACTTTTCTTAAGTTCCTCCTTTTTCAACATCAGTTCTTTGAGTTTTTCATCCCGTATTCGCTTCAAATCTATTATAAATGTACAAAAAAGTAAATATTACATTTCCACATGAAAACTGGAAAAAATGGTTTTTGAAATGCAGTACAGAACAATATACGTTAGAAATAGTTTCAATTGTTACCCTAAGTACCTGATTAATGCTGATTGTTTTTCAAACTGAATTATAAAAGTACAAAAAAAACAGACATACCGTCATTAGATGAGGATGCTTTAATTTGCTTCATTATTTGGTCTATTTCGAAGCCTAGCAAAATAATCTGGAGAGCTGTGGAAAGAAAATGTTGCCATGTATGTTAAATTAAATGCATGTAAAAAAAAATTTTTATATTCTGTGTGTCTAAAATTTCACTCAACTCACCTGCCTTTGAGGTTTTATCTAATATATTATTTACTTGAATATCCAGTTCAGCTTCTGCATCTGGAAAAGACAACATAAATAATGATTATTGCAACACAATTATAGTAAAATGAACCTCTTTTTTTTTTTTTAGCATAATCTGCAAATAGCATTTAATAATCCCATTTAAATTTCTCCTGTTGCTTTCATGTGAACAAAGCTTTCATATGGCTGCTTGCTGGGAGTCAAGAAGAGTAAAATGTCTCACTCATGTACAGATCCATCAGGTCTTTGCATTGTTCTGTCTGGACAAACAACTTTTTGCGTAAACCTGTGTGTAGAAGAAATTATAGATAAATTAACAATACATGTTCCATTTGGGATAAAGACAAGGCTAATATTAACATTGCATATTGTGAATACTATGACAAATTCTGTGTTATTTTTCTCATTTGTAAGTTGAATTGGGCAATAGTATCTGCTAAATAAATTAATGCAGAAAAGTGTTTTTTCATCTGTATGGATTAAGCATCCATGATTACATTTGCTATAATCGTAAGTAATTACAAAACAATATATCAATCTTACTTTTGTTGTCAGCATCCAGATATAATGCCCTGTCCTGTTCCTTTCCAAGCTCTTTCTGGAGATCTAAGAGGGAATAACCCAAAATCACACAAACATCACAATTCTTAAAGCTGCTTAAGAAAAAACCAAAATAAAAAAAGATAATAATAATAATTAAAAACCATTCAGATCTCACCATTTATCTTAAATTCGTCTGCTTTCATTTGTCCCTGTCCCGTAATTAGTGCCTCCATAAATTCAAACTGGAGTTTAAGAATTCTAGAAACTAAAAGTAGCAAAAGTATTATAAATTGTAATGATGATTTTTTTCTCAAAAACAGTGCCACTAGAAACAATAATTCACGAGAAATGAGAATCGGGTATGTTTAAATGAAAGAAACTTACTTATCTCATCTTTTCCCTTAAATTTGGCAATTTTGTCCATTATTTCTATTCTTTTCCCATCAAATTCATTTGTCTGTTCTAAAAGATACAAATTATTGTCAGGATGATTCCCACATCTAAATATAATATGCTAAATTATTCATAAATCATTTATAGTCTGATTCCAATACCATCAAGCTGAACAAATATTTGTTTAAGAGCTGATAATTTGCCATTCAGCTCTAATATTTCTTTCTCCAGTGCTGCTATGAGTATATCTGTGAACACAAAACGGAAAACAGAAAAAGGATATGCTGCAGTAATCAGGAACCTCTTATTTGTCACATAATGGATTACATATGGTATAAATTTACTGTGGAGCTACAAAAAACAAAACAAAACTGGAAAACAAACCATACCAATTTTTTCTCTGTTTTCTCTCCTCACTTCTCGTTCCTCTTTCAGATCTGATAGAAGGCCATTTTTATACTCCAGTTTGCTTATAATTACTATCAAACATTCAAAAAGAGATGCAACAATCATACATTACTAAAAGTAAACTTGCTCTAATCATCTCAAAACTGCAACTTCATAACTTCCTGGCCTGATAAGGATTTTGTAAACATCAATAATGAACACTCACCATCCATCTGCGCTTGCGTCTTAAATTTACCAGAGATACGCGTCTTCAGTTCCATTGCTTTAATTTGCAATATAACAATCTGCAGCACTAAAAACAAAACAAATAGTATTCTCTCGTGGAAAACAATCAAACTGCTATGACAAATTTTCAAAACCTTTCAAAACAAATACTAAAATATGCTAAAAGTTTTGTGATCCATTGCTCTCATTCTCATTGAACTCACCCTGGTCTGTAATGCCACCTTTTTCCCCTGGTTGTTGGAGCTTGTCTTCCAGATATTTCTTTAATTCTGTAGATTAGATATAAATATATAAGCACATGCATTTTAGTCAGTTTTGGGATTAATTACTTATTTTAGGTAGGCTATTCACTGATGATGAGGCTGTAGATGATATAAATCAAAAGTGACCTGTTTTTGGTCATACACACCATTAAGAGGTGTTGAGGTTGCCTTATCGCTTTTCAGTGTCTCTGTGCTTATCTTTGAAACTAGATGAAGAAAAATGAACAAACAATTACTTCAGTTTCCTTTGGTTAAGAATTGAGCAAGGACTCAAAATGCAGTGTCAGTGTGGTATTGCTCCATGCACAGGGGTGTATCTCTACCTGCCCGCTCGAAAATTTCTTCACTTCCTGAGAATTCTGTCTTCATCCCTGCTAAGTCTCTCTCTGCATCCTTTCGACGCTTGTCCAGTCCTGTTGAATTTTAGATAAAAAGCTGTGTGAATATACATGGGATATTGAGATAATATTGAAGTTAATACTAAAAGGAATATTGTTGCAACACACTTTCAATCTTTGTGGCATCTCTCTCAGTGCTTATTATCGCATCCAGCTCCTGTAGGTCAATGACTTTCTGGAGAATGTTTAAGACTGAATGGGTGGAACACAAGGGTAAAAAGTGTCAACCATTGTCTTTTTGCTAATCAATAATAATATGTCACAGAATAAAATAACATGTTACAGCTATGTTCACCAGTATCATGATTTTCCACATACCATCCTTGGCTGGACTGGTACTGATTTGTTTAACAAGACCATTCAGCTCGCTTTTAAGACCTGCAAACATGTCCATCAATATAAATATTTTTGATGAATATAAGTCCAGGATGGAACTGCATGGTTAATATATATATATATACGTTGAGATTTGTGTAGAATAAAGGTGGGTTGACTCACCATCAATATTGTTCTTCGCTACTTGATAAGAATCCCTACATTTAATCTTCATCTCATCAAGATCTTTCCGGAGGCCTAAAGAAGTACAGATGATGATCATAGTGCCTGAGATTTTTATTAAATAAAATATTCATAATATTGAATATTTCATAAATCTAGTTAATTTGTACAGTGTTTTACTAGGATGTACACCCCAACCTATGGTAGAACTGGTTGAAGTTTAAAACTCATATTTTCATATCAGAATCTAATATCTTGTGTTTAATATTAATATGAATTAATATTAATATATGTGACCCTGAACCACAAAACCAGTCATAAGGGTCAATTTGAAATTGAGATTTATACATCATCTGAATGATGGATAAATAAGCTTTCCATTGATGTACAGTTTGTTAGGATAGGACAATATTTGAAAATCTGGAATCTGAGGGTGCAAAAAAAATCAGAATTTTGAGAAAATCGCCTTTAAAGTTGCCTAAATTAAGTCCTTAGCAATGCATATTACTAACCAAAAATGAAGTTTTGATATATTTATGGTAGGAAATGTACAAAATATCTTCATGGAACATGATCTTTACTGAATTTTGACCCATACGATGTATTGTTGGCTATTGCTACATACCTGTGCTACTTATGACTGGTTTTGTGGTCCAGGGTCACATATGATTAAAATGGTTCTGAATAAAATATAGTAAAGAAAAATATAATTCACATACCTGAACAGTCCTTAGTAGATTACAGAGAGATAATGAACATTTATTTAAAAACAACATTAAGTACATTTAAAAGTGCATGCATGTAAAATGAAAATGATATGTGAAAAACACCCACAAAAAACAACAACATAAATATTAAAAAACAGCCACACCTCTATGGCTCTTCTTTCTCTTGTGAAATCCCTATGTGCCTAAAATGTGTGGAAAAAAATCACTTTTGAGAAACTCACACTGAGTTTTTGCACAGTGAAAGACATTACAATTTAAATATAGAAATATCCAATTTCCTAATGATATAATTATTTAGCTTGATGTATCAAAGCTGTACAGTTTTGTTTTAGAAACACAAGTTAAACTTCTCATGTACACCATTAAAAATGTTTTTGCAATTAATTAACATTTATTTAAGATTTCTATTTCAAATGAATACTGTTCTTTCTATTCATCAGACAGTCCTGAAAATAATAAATCAGTTTCCACAAAAAAATAGTAAGCAGCACAACTGTTTTCAACAGTCAATGATAATAATAAGAAATGTTTCTGAGCACCAAATCAGTACATTATAATGATTTCTAAACGATTGTGTGACACTGGGTTAATGGCTGCTGAAAATTCAGTGGTGCTGCCATCATAGGAATAAATTAATTTTAAAATGCATTAAAATAGAAAACAGTTATTTTAAAATGTGATAATATTTCACAATATTAATGTTTTACAGTATTTTTGATCACATAAATGCAGTCTTTGTGAGAATAATAAAAACATTTAATTGTAAGTTTAGTTGTATACTGATTCAAGTATAGACCCTATTTAAATTCATAGTATGACTACAAGTAGTCATATCTAAAAAAAATAATAATGTCGGAAACCACAATGAAATGTACATGAAACTTACCATAATCGGAGCATCTTTTTCATCACTCCTAGCTAAGGCTGCATCCACAGGACCTAAATCACAATCAAAGTATCATACAACCATTCCTTCTCTTGTCAGAAAGAGGACAGACAGAGCCATCAAAACAATGCTCTTACCACATTCAGCTTGTGTCAGCAGGTAAATTGACACAAAGAAAGAACAAATCTGGAGATTCTCTATCCACTTCATTACTGTGTGTGAATGTAATCTCACAGTAACACTGGAGCTCATGAGCTTGTGCGCTTTATATATGAATAGCACACCAGTCCGTTATTGCCTAACTCGCTTTTGCATGGTTATCTTACATCTCATGCCGGAAAACAATGATAGACTGACTTAGTGTAGATCTGACTAACTCCTTGATCTAAGACAGGACTTTACAAGAAGAACGACCTAGTGCCAGAGAAAGTGTTTTGGACCAACTGAGGCAAATGTTTTTTTTTTTTTTTTTGCCATTTATTCATTTTTAATCTGCACTGTCATTACATTTTACATGTGTTGATCATGCACATGCATTTTTACTCCGCTGTTTTAAATATGCCACAAAGATACATTAATGTAGCTGGCTACAATATTGCCATAACTGCTTGTAAATTTAATGGTAAAGCGGCTTAATTTCTTGCTTCTGTTGCTAATTAAAAACGAATAAATTAAAAATATGAAGACCCCCTCCCCCCAGCATATGAAATGTATAAGCCACAAAGTTTGGGCATCAAAAAATATGCTGTCCAAAACTAATTTTCAGTACACTAACTATTTTTATCAGAACAAATTTCAGCTCATTGTGGTAGTACTGACAGTGACCTTCATTGCAAAAATAATTCACATTGCAAAAGAGGAAAATATGTGTATAAGACACGCCCAGCCTTGAACTTGTTGATAACAGGGTGGTTTTGTAAATGTCAATGACACGGTCACTTTTATTTGTAATGCAAATTCATCAACAGTTAACTAAAAACTTGTTTCCAAAAATGGAAGAAAATGCAACGCCTGCTGATAACACTGATAATATTTTATTATTTTGAGCTCAGATACTTCTCAAAATGTAAATTTCATATTAAATTGTTTAATTTATATTAAAATGTTTAATATTTTAGAACATTGGAACACTCACAATTTGGAATTATTAGGGTTGCAATAAAAACATTTTTAAATGTCGTTCTGATCATGCAAGTAACCAATGTTTTGAGTATCAGCTAGTGATGAAGATGTATTCAAAGGCTTTCTTGACAAAAAATATACATTTTATTTTTGAGGTTTGGCTATTAATAAACAGCTTCTTCTAAGCTCATTAATTGATTGTTTGGTGTGTACTGTAACAGCAAGATATATGACAGTGAGGTCTCTGCCGGTACATTCGTTCAAATGATGATGCATGTCACACTAAGCATAGTTTACTGCTTAGTTTTTATTACTGAGATTAAACCTCTATCTTTTTTTATTTAGGCTTCATCTGTGTAAGAGTGCATTAATTAGCACTAACCACTCTTTGGCAGCTTAATACCTAACTATGTGCACTGTACACCTTAAAGGGGTCCTATGATGTTGCTAAAAAGAACATTATTTTGTGTATTTGGTGTAATGAAATGTGTTTATGAGGTTTAAGGTTCAAAAAACACATTATTTTCCACATACTGTACATTATTGTTTCTCCTCTATGCCAAGCCTTTTTGAAAAGCGTGGATTTTTACAAAGCTCATCGGTCTGAAAAGCGAGGTGTGCTGTGATTGGCCAGCTATCCAGTGTGTTGTGA